ATCTAGCATCTTGATACTGCTGAGATTCAGAATCTATGACAAAGTTGCACTTTTGCCATCCAGCTTTCCTGTCACTTAGACACTATGTGTGCTTGCCATTTTACACTTAGCTGTTGGGACTTTCACAATGGGAGTTGGTGGGAGTCCCTCAGCACCAACCACTACTGGTTTCCCGAAGCTGCCTTATTGGTAGTATTCTTCTTACACTGGCTCCTCATATGTCCTTGCTCTCCACAGTTCCATTAACCTTTCTGGGTAGCAGCCTTTCGTGCCATGGCATCTTCCCTGTGTTGAAGTTGCCGGCATTGAGCTTTCTTGTAAGTAGGTTTGTTACAGTACCAGCAAGGTCCCTCAAACTTCTCTGAGAGCTGACCTTTTCTGGCCTTGGATCCTGATGACTGTGCCAACCTTGGTACCTCTGTGCTGGACTTAACATAGGATTCGAATTCAAGAGCTCTGGCCATCGTATCCTGCATAGTAGAGGGGTGTGCTTGCTTCACTTGTATCTTCAGTAGTGTCCAAGGCGTCAACAAACTGATCCCTCAGCAACAGCTTGAGAACATAAGGTGGTGCATTTGGGTAAGCCTTGTGTGTCATACTTTCCAAGTCCTGTGCCAGCTCTTGCAGGCTTTCCCCTTTAGCACGGACTCTTGTCCTAAACCTAGCCCTGTAGACTTCGGACTGATTTTGAGTTCCATACCTGAGTTCTAGAGCAGCTACTCGTGCTTCATACTTGTGCCTGTCGTCTGCCTACAACTGTCCAAGTATTTCCAGTGGTTGTCCCTTCAAGCTCGTTGCCAGATATACTGCTTTCTGCTCCTCTGTCGATCCATTCATCTCTGCCAGTAGCTCAAATTGTGCTCTATATGCCCCCCACGGTGCCTTCCCATTGAATTCCTGTGGCTTCCTTCGTACTGAATCACCCCTATTAATGACATTCATATCTGGGATGTGACTTCTAACAGGACTGAAGATGTCTGCATTAGGGTTTTGCTGCGGGGTCTGGAAGGGGCTTGCCGTTGTCTGGGGCTGATTAAGTCGATGGTTAATGTATCCTCCTTGTGTAAAAGACAATAAATCATCTTTTAATGTATTTAATTCGTTTTGAAATTTACTAAGATTTTCCATTTGTATTTCTTGTTTCCTTTCTTGTTCCACTTGCCACTGCTGTACTCTCTCTTCTTGTTTATTTTCCTTTTCCTCCAACAACTGTTGTAAATTTTTTTTGTTTATTTTCTCGTTCTTCTTGTTTCTTTTGCTGTTTTTGTTTTAATGCCATCAAATCTGCTAAGATGTAGTTTGGTTTGTCGCTTCTCTTTTCCATTTTTTTTCAGTCCCACTGTCTGACACCAATTTGTTACGTCTCTGGTCGTTGGTTACTTTTTCTAAGAATTTCTTTCCGAGAAATTTCAGCAATATAAGTATTTTCTTAAATAAAACTAGTTTATTCTTTCTCAATTCAACTTTGCAATACAGTTAATTTCCACAGTCACTTTAACTTAAACACATGCTATAATTCACAACGAACGATTCATGCACTTTACTTACTACCTCGCTTGAGTCAATTGTCCGTCTCTATCTCTGCCTGTCTGCAATTCAATTGTATATGCCGTCACTTTTTGCCGGTTTTATATATACGAAATAGAGGGGGTCCGGCAAACACTCTTCCTTTACGAACTTCTAGATACTCATTACGTGTTACTAGCGTCGCGTGAATTCCGCTGTGGTAACAATATAATTCACAGTCAATCTTTAAAATAGAATTCACAGTCAATCTTTAAAGTATAATTCATAGTGAATCTTTAAAATACAATTCACAGTCAATCTTTAAAATACAATTCATAATCAATCTTTAAAATATTGGTCATAACAAATCCTAAAATATGGTTCATATCCATTTGGCCATCTCTAAAATATAGTTTATACTTTACTGCAAACCTCGAGGCCGAGACGATTCGTTTGGTACCACTTAGAAGTTGGTGCGACTAGCGGTTTTTGAGGAGTTACGTGACACATACAGACGCACAGACACGGAATCTTTAAAATATGTAAAATGTAGTTTATATCTATATCTAAAAACAATAATTTGTATTCAATTTCCAAAACATAAATCACGTCAATCTTATCATAAAATTTAAATCCTAGCTAATTTCCACAGATTTGCTCTCGATCAATAAATTCGTTTTTACGGAACATCCTCTTACATATGCATATAAAAACGAGTTCCAAAATACCTTTCCGATTGTATTAGTAGGAAGAGGGTTAAGTGTATTAAGAGGATGACATTGCAGGAGGTAAGATGGCAATTAATGTTTAACGTATACATGTTCAGTAAGATGGTAATTAATGTGTAACGTATACCTGTTTAGTAAGATGGCAATTGATGTGTAACATATATCTGTTCAGTAAAATGCCACTTGATGTGTAACGTATACATGTCCAGTAAGATGGCACTTAATGTGGAACGTATACCTGTTCAGTAAGATGGCAATTGATGTATAATGTATACATGTTCAGTAAGATGACAATTAATGTTTAACGTATACCTGTTCAGTAACATGGCAATTGATGTGTAATGTATACATGTTCAGTAAGATGACAATTAATGTGTAATGTATACATGTTCAGTAAGTAGGCACTTAATGTGTAACGTATACATGTTCAGTAAGTTGGCACTTAATGTGTAATGTATACCTGTTCAATAAGATGGCAATTAATGTGTAATGTATACATGTTCAGTAAGATGGCAATTAATGTGTAACGTATACATGTTCAGTAAGATGGCAATTAATGTGTAACGTATACATGTTCAGTAAGTTGGCACTTAATGTGTAATGTATACATGTCCAGTAAGATGGCGATTAATGTGTAATGTATACCTGTTCAGTAAGTTGGCAATTAATGTGTAATGTATACATGTTCAGTAAGATGGCACTTAATGTGTAATGTATACATGTTCAGTAAGATAACAATTAATGTGTAACGTATACATGTTCAGTAAGATGGCAATTAATGTGTAATTTATACATGTTCAGTAAGATGGAAATTAATGTGTAATGTATACCTGTTCAGTAAGATGGCAATTAATGTGTAACATATACATGTTCAGTAAGATGACAATTACTGTGTAACGTATACATGTTCAGTAAGTTGGCAATTAATGTGTAATGTAACATGTCCAGTAAGATGGCAATTAATGTGTAATGTATACATGTTCAGTAAGATGGCAATTAATGTGTAATGTATACATGTTCAGTAAGATGGCAATTAATGTGAAATGTATGCATGTTCAGTAAGATGACAATTAATGTGTAATCTATACATTTTCAGTAGGATGACAATTAATGTGTAATGCATACATGTTCAGTAAGATGTGTAATGTGTAACGTATACATGTTCAGTAAATTGGCAATTAATGTGTAACGTATACATGTTCAGTAAGATGGCAATTAATGTGTAATGTATACATGTTTGTAAGAAGACAATTAATGTGTAATGTATACATGTTCAGTAAGATGGCAATTAATGTGTAATGTATACATGTTCCAAGTTTGATAACATGTTTTATTACGAATTTGAAAACACTTAGGTTCGTTATCTAAACACCACCAAATGCTTTCTTTATTATCTTATTTAGTACACATAGAGTTGCTAGGAAGGTACTTACCATACTTAGTTATAAGACACATAGAGTTGCTAGGAAGGTACTTACTATACTTAATTATGAGACACATAGAGTTGATTAAAGGGTATTTACTATACTTAATTATGATTCTTACAAAGGTATTCACACATTTGTTTTTATTTTGAAAAGCTCTAAAGTCCTCAAAACATTTTAATGTCATAAGTACGGTAGTACTTGTAGTAGGAATGTGTCAGATGTGCAATATGTGCAGTGCAAAAAAAAAAATCTCAAACATAATGCAAACAGCATCTAAACAAAACTATATAAGCACTTTACACACACTGTTGAGTAGTAAACAAACCAACTGCAAGGTAACAAGCCACCAAAGCAATTGAGAAAGTCGACAGAATAAAAATTCACAAAACCACAAATTTGTCAATCTCACTGACTGATTATCGTTGTTGGAAAGGCATAGTTCTCTCCTGCCTTCACCTTATGCAAATCTAAGTGTACATGAATGAAATACGTTGTCTTGGCTAAAATCGTTTTTCTTAGTTTACTTATAGCCTTCTTAACAACAACAACCATTTAGCAACACTATTAACGAGCTAACAATACACTAGTATCCATATTCTATGATTATGAGCATGCTCTGTGAGTTGCCAAATAACAACATGCTCTCATATACGTGCGAGTGTGATTTCTTATGTGCTTGCACTACATGATCGTCCTACAGCTCTATCAGCTAAATATTAAAACGTGACTAAGTAGGTTTTCTAGATCTAGGTTCTGACTATTATATCTTTGAAAGTGAAGTTTACGGTTCTATACTTCTGACTCGACGGGTCCTGTGTTTATCTTAGCAGTTGGGACCCGGTATGGCCAGGTGGTTATGGATCCTTTCTCACAATCTGAGGGTCACGGGTTTGAATCCCCGTCCCACTAAACATGTTCGCCCTTTCAGCTATGGGATATTATAATGTAATGGTCAATCACACTATTTGTTGTTAAAAGAGTAGCCTAAGAGTTGTCAGTGGGTGATGATGACTAGCTGCCTTCCCTCTAGTCTTTCACTGCTAAATTAGGGACAGATAGCGCAGATAGCTCTCGTGTAGGTTTGCGCGAAATTCAAAACAAACCAAATTTAGCAGTCGGTGTCCCAGACGTGATTCTCCTATGCGAGGATGAATGCCACCACTGCCGAAGTTTGACACGGCTTTGCTCGATCGCTCTGGACTTAAAACAAGAAAAATAAGTTGTATAATTTAACTTTGAATTGTTTTCACACAAAGTGTGACTTATTGACATCTAAGGTTATATTTGAAACAGTACATTTTTAAAAATATGCCTTTCAAGGAAACTAAACAAGAGAAAAGGAGAAAATCGTATGTTGATAACCTTAAACTCTTTGTCCTAGCGAAGAAAGCATTACTGAAAGAATAGAGATAAAGTTAAAAACAGTAATGCTGAATATATGAAACAAGCCTTAGTCATTAGTATAGCTAAAGAAAAGGCTACCACCCTGGCTAAATGGAAAAAAACTATAGCAAAGATATCAGCAAAAGCCAGTTTTATCAGTAGCTAATCCATTCTAAGTATTCAACAAATTTAACAATTTTAAAAGTCAACGTTTTTGATACTGTTCTGTTGGCTCACCCCTTACCAGACAAATAGCTGCAATGTCAGAGATAAGAAAGTATGACTATTGGAGCTTCCTTTCTCACTTATGACATCAAACATCACCCTTGTGATGTCATGTATTTTGTTAGGGTCACGTAATTTGATTACATACATGTACTTGGTTGCTGAAACAAAGTTTACAATAGTTTAAAAAACACACAAAGTAGGAATGGGTTTAATGATGACCACACCCACTTTAAGGTTATACTGTGTTAAAAACTATCAAGCATTGTAATGTTATCCCACCCATTTCTACCTTGTTTCCATACTTTTTGGTGCTCACATTCATACTTCCTATTTTTTTATTTATATATGTTTCTCTCACTTGTATTAACAAACTACTTTCATCCATAGGCCTACGTCAGTTATGAGATAAGTATTGTAAAAGTATAGAAAATGTGATAATTACCATAAAATTCATATGAAAGGCATTATTTGGTGATATTTTACCTCTAGAATCATCTGATTGAAGACTCAATAAGACAAGTGAATTTCTTAAATATCGAATTTGCAATAATAAAGAGAAACACACTGATTCACAAATAACAGTTTTTGTTTGCTTTTTACTTACTTGTAAAGAATCAGAAAAATATGAAATGTACAAACAAAGAAAGTTTGAGAGCATGACCTGGTCGTCACTCTTCTGATTTTAAGTTAAATGTTGCTTTATGGAACTGTCCCTTGGTGGGACAGCAATAAGGCTACGGGCTTACAATGCTAAGATACGGGGTTTTAGTCCGCATGAAGGACACATCACATAGTCATATGTGGCTTTTCCCTCAAACAAAGAAACGTTATGCGTTATGGAATTACTAATGAATTATATACTGTTTTACGTAATTACAAAAAATTGTGTCAAGTCCTAATCAAATTAACATTGGATTTAATGAAAGCCAAACTGAAGAATGAAAAAAATCTCCTCGTTTTTTTAATTGGGTTTGAGGATCTTTCACGAATAATAAATCAATCAGTTTCTATTTTAAAATAAATGAGTTGGATAAATGAGTTTAATATCCAAATCAGTATGTCCGGAGAGTAAAAGTATCATATTTGATCAATACAAAATTAGAATACAAAGACAGAAGGACGAAGCTAACTCTCTCTCTCTTTCTAAAGTTCCTTAAACTAAATTCTCACACTTTCCCTAATTAGATGATAACCCTGTTTCCTGCAGGGCTGCCAACACATAGGACTAACAGAAGCTAATTAGTTCAACATCGTAATTAGCCGAACCAAAGAGGAGGCAGAAAACTTTGTGCTTGACAAATTCAAGAAGGGAAAAATCAAGCCTCGAATATTACAAGCTACAAATTTTTATACAGCAAAAGAACAAAAAAAATATATATACATGTAGAATTAAATATTACTCAAAACATTTTAAATGATAGTTTGCAAAGAAATTAATCTAACAAACAAATGACTGATATGTCTTGAAGAAGTTAAAGCGCTCTCTTAATTTTATATTTTCTGTTAAAGCAGTTACATTTCGTAAAAAAACTCAGCGATTAATTCATTAATATTGAACTATATATTTCTTAGAATTCCCACTACGTATCTTCACAATAACACGTTCCGCATTTAGGGGATATATATGCCTTAATTATACAAAACCGTTTTCATACCATATAAAGTTAATTTCCATAATCTTATCAACAGTAATGTTACAAAGTGAAAAGGGTGAATTGAATTTGTTTCATTAGTTATTTTTATATTTTAACTTAACCAGAGAACAGAGAAGTATTTACGAAGATACAATGATTTTTTTTTAGGATTAATGAGAACGAATTTTCGCTGAAAGCTGGCTTCTGGCCATCAGTTGTTCTAACGCGATTTTACTGAGAACAAACTTATTTTCTTTAAAAAAACAAAAACAAAAACGCGTTTGCTAGTCGTCCCAAACCCGTTCAAATGACAGAAGCGACAATTTCTAAGCTTACCTGCCAGTGCAAGGCTGCAAAATGCTTTCAATATTAAGAGTGCAGTAGGTTTGGATGTCACGATTTAGGCACTGTGTAATTTCCAATCGCCCGACTTCGGTATTGTAATTTTCCACCCATACAGTCTCCACCCTTTCCAACCGAAGCAAAACGTTCCACGGATAGCGCCCTACTTATTCCCTTAATTTACTTGTGCTTATCCAGATCTGGCAGGGAGCCAGAGACCTTGCCCTCATAGCAAACTACTGTAATTTACTTGTGCTTATCCAGATCTGGCGGGGAGCCAGAGACTTTGCCCTCATAGCAAACTACTGTAATTTACTCTTGTTAAGTCGCTGGAAAAACATCATGAACGTGCACTTTAAATGTTCTACTAAGACATTTCTTAGACAAATACAACAGTTCAGTTCGTAACGTGAGCATAGACACCTGTTTAACAACAACTAGTGTAGATATAGGCGTCTGATAATTGTATTTTGCTGAACACCCATACTGAATGAAAGTTTGAATATATATATGTGTTTATAGTATTATATAACAATAAACATATTTGGCAACTGTTTGAATATTCATTTTGTTAATTTCAAAATACCATTTAGATATTTCTTCTTTCGTGGTCTTAATAGTTAGTCCTAAAACTTCTTAACTGTGTTTCTTTATCCAAACTTTGCAGACGTTTCTAAGATGACTTGGTCCTTAAATTAGAATTTTACATAATTTATGTTTTATATTATCTAGATATTTAACATAATATTTCTTACTTTTGATATATTGTCGTTTCAACTTCCTTTTCGCTTTAAATCTCATTTGTAAGAATCCAGTTATATTTCCTTGTCTGTCCCATTAGTAGAATAAGGCCTAGGAATTTCCTCATGTCTGTAGGTGTAACTTCAGACCATTGAAGTCCTTCAGATGACATTTTTTGTATCTCCGCAGTTTGATTATGTTAGGTACACATTTCCTGACAAAACAAGTCATCACCAAACATTAGACTTGTCAAGGCAGCAATACTTTCAGGTTGGGATGGACCCCTTAAAACATTTCCAAGTTTGGTGGAATATCCAATTATCATTATCTCAATGGGATAAAAAATCACTAACAGGATCATTTGTAGAATCATCCCCACTTTTTGATTCAGAATCAGTTGAGAGCTCAACAACTTTACATATCTTTGTAGGTCTAACAACGTCACTGTAGCTAGAATCACTGTCAGAATGATCCACAAACACATCCACATCAGAATCTTCACCTTCACATGGAAGATCTGACAAATTATCATCAAATAGTTCAGTAATTATCTCATCTTCACTCAACGAGAAGCCATTTATAAAAAGATGGGTATTATAAGCAAAAATCAGAAAAATAATAACTGTCCGGAACAAAATAAAACGCGCCCGACTCCTTTCGAACGCAACGTTTTAATAAATGGCACATAAAGACGCTCTGCACGAAACACGAGTAAAATCGTGACCCGTCCGCAATGTGACCCGTCCACAATGTGACCCGTCCGCAATGTGACCCGTCCACAATGTGACCAGTCCGCAATGTGACCCGTCCACAATGTGACCAGTCCGCAATGTGACCCGTCCACAATGTATTACAAAATTATGTTGTTGTTTTAGCGCAATGTCACACAGTCCACCGCGGGAATTGAAACCTGAATTTTAGCGTTATAAGCCGCTAAACTTACCGTTGACTCACCGAAGAAACTTAAAAGTCAATAAGAGTGATTCAGTTATTTTTTTTATAGATTCCAATCTGCCTTAAAAACGAAATTTGTATTAGACATAAAAAAATCGATATGAACGAGTTAGTCCCAAGTTGCTAGTAATACCATCATTAGATTATTTATAATGTTAAGGATTAGATATGTGATCTACTTGCCACTATTTTTCTAAGTTTTTGAATAGTGGGCAGGTGACAGGGGGCTGGAAGATCGCTAATGTAAATTCGTTTGTTTGCAGTTAAGCACAAAGCTACACAATGGGATATCTGTGCTCTGTCCACTACAAGTATCGAAACTCGGTTTCTAGCGTTGTAAGTTCGCAGACATACAGCTGTACCACTGGGGAGGGGGGGTGTTCAATAGAGTTAATAAGAATTGTCCCAGTAATTATAGGGTTATTAGTCTTACATCTGCAGGAACTTGCAATGAGAGACGTTTTTCATGAGTAATGTACTAATCTATCTGAATACTGACTCATCTTATTCATAATAAGAAGTTAAGCCACGTGCATATGATATTATACGTAGTAAAGTTCATTGTTGAAATACTTTTATTTATAGTATAACATATTTTTTTTGAAAGTAAAGATAATAATAAAAGTTAAGGGAAAAAAATTATAAGTTTCATTTATATCACTTTACAGTGCCTGGCATGGCCAGGTGGATAAGGCGCTCGACTCACAATCTGAGGGTCGCGGATTCGAATCCGCATACCACCAAACATGCTCGCCCTTTCAGCCGTGGGGGC